AGGAGATGCCTGCTGATGGGCCGGAGGGTTCTTCCTTCCCCGTCGCTCCCAGCGCGGAGGGAGGAGCGCCGTCGGCAGAGCAGGAGGACCCGCAGCATTAGCGGGTTTCCTGAGATTTTTCTCCTCCTGGGTCACCCCACCTCCGGCCTCCCACCCCTCAGGTGATGCCGGCGGGGTGATACGCCGACAGTCAGAGTACCAGGGGAGGAACATGCCACAACTGCAAAAGCTATGGACCGAAAACATGAACTAGGAGGGGATTTCTCAGCTACACATTAACAGACTGAGTCCCCCTTCCTATCTCTGCACTGAGCACTGCCCAAAAGCTCCCGAGGACAGAATAACATCTAAACATGTCCCGTCTAAACACAAGGAGGGACTTCTTTACTTTGAAGGTGGCAGAGCACTGGCCCAGAGAGGTTGTGGAGTCTCCCACTCTGGAGGCATTCAAAACCCACCCAGACACTGTCCTGTGCAACCTGCTGTAGGTGACCCTGCTCAGGCAGGGGGGTTGGACTAGATGATCTCCAGAGGTCCCTTCCAACCCTGACCATTCTGTGACTGCTTCACAGATAAGCTCCTCCTTCTGAGGCACTTCCTTTTTCATTACCCTTAGCGTTATCTAAAAATTTCCTAGCTGGTGAAGCAACTGGGAAACAGGGAAGTAACATCCAGTCTTGCTTTCTCATCCATCAGCACGTGGCTGGAAGCAGGCAGCAAGCACAGCTTCAGCACGCGGCCTAGAAACCTTCCCTGCACAGAGGGAGCTGCTCTGCATTTAATGAGCAGCAAAGTCAATTACCAGTCCTTACAGGCAAAGAGAGTAGGGATGAGTGCATTTCCAAGCCTGCCTTGGAAAGCTCAGCTCACTAGTGGGACAGCCGGGTGCTGCAGCAGCTACTGGAATAGAGATGCACACAAATCACCATGGGCCCAAAGAGGAACTGTAACAGTGGAGAAGCAAGATGCCCAGGGCGTGCTGCAAGTGAAATCTGACAGCAAGACGCCGGGTAGACCTGTGGAATGCCTACTGGGACAATGGTGTGCCCCCAAGAAAATAAAAAACCCAACAAAAGTACCCCACACTTCCATCTCTGCAACCAGCTACCTCCAGAAGTAGTAAATTCAGCTTGTCCCCAGCTGCTTCTGAATAAGACCCAGGACACACCTTTGCTTTTTCTTTTTTTTCATTTATTGTTCAGTAACGGGACACAGGTGAGGTAAGACATCTCATAAGGGTCTAAGCTGACAGGGTCCTTGCTGATGGAGCTGAAGGATGCAAGAGAGTGTGGCTCCTTTTTCCTTCCCCCAGCACCAGCGGCCCCCTCTCCCTGCAGCACTGCAGAGAAAGGGGGAGGCACTGGCCAGGCTGACTGTGGACTCTTACAGGTCAACAGGCAACCAAAGATTTCGCCAATTCAGAGAGGAGGCTGTCAAGACTGTGCCAAGACAGGCTTCCACTAACAGGACTCCCAACATGGTGGTGGGGGTTAGCAGCACAGCTAGAACAATGACCGTGGAAGGGGGAAAGCCTCAGAGGAGGCCTCTGTACGTGTGCAATGAAAGGTCCCTTCTTGTTTCCGTTTCTCGCTCTGAACCACAAGGGACTGCTCCTCACAGGCTGCTTCAGTGTTTGGCATTGATAATATCCACAAACTCTGGCTTGAGAGAAGCTCCACCAACAAGGAAGCCATCCACATCATGCTGAGAGGCCAGCTC